GAAGTCTTTAGTCTGAGCACATGCTTTGGCACAATCGGTAATAATGACATTAGATACGGTGGATACAGCATCCAGAACAAGATTCTTTCCAGGAAATTCACTAAACAGGTTGATAAAAGACTCTATTGGAAGAGAAATGAAAGACAAGAATGGATTAAAAGAGTTACATAGAAAGACAAGTGTTATTTACTTTCATAGATGTTGCATCCATCTGCGTGGCTTGTTTTATCCTCTAGTTTATTATCCAATGTTGTTGAAGTTTCACCGCTCAAAATACATTCCTTGTTTTTATTAATGCAATAAGAAAGTGTATTACAGTCCTCATCGTTTAAACAGGCCATGAAACATTCGGTAAGTGAACCTTTTTCAATTTTAAATTGTGCTTCATTGAAATGACGACCAGTTTTAATCAAAGGAAAGTCTTCTCCTTTAACAGGCCTAAAGGTTCCTTGTTTATATTCTTGGGAAATGTCACCAATCTCATCAGGACCACTTACAATGAACAAATCTTCAGCTGTCAGAGCAGCCGAGTGTAAAACGAATTGACCCTCGGACACTTTATTCCGTATCTGCTGTAAAACGTGTAAAATTGACGATAAATGGTTTCCCTTAACGTATTCTGAAAGCTTATGTCCAAACCAGACGCGACGGTAAAGATTACAATCTTCATTATATTGAGTATCGATAATGCTTGAAGATGGAAATGCCAGAATAAAACAATCAAAATTGGAGCAATAACTAAAATCATAGCAGGCTGTTGTTGAACTGCAAAGCTGCTCACAATCTTCAGGTGTCAACTTTTGCACTATATCTGTTGGACTACTGATTGTATAACCACGTTTAACCTGATAAGTGTCAATTAAATGTATACGATCGTGAAGCTTGACAGTAACATAAACATTGGTGTCGATGTTGACCGCATGAATTTGGCCGATTCGAGTTATTGGGATGAATTTGAGCAACGATTCTTGTACCTCTTGTCTTACCAATTCCAAAGTGACATCATTCATCCAAGGATTTGAAAAAACCAATTGAAACCAAGTAAAGGCTCCAGGTTTCTCATAACACCCAGAAACATCGAAACGATCTTCAAAATCAAAGTAATCGTCACGATAATCAATTATGGTTACTTCAATCTTATCTGGAGATGTCAAAGAGAACTGGCTCCTATCTTTGGTAAATACAACTTTATAAGGCACTTTTACTTTATCAGACGAATAATAATAATCAATAATGGCATCTATGCTGTTTGGCAAAAAATTGGTCGCTCTGTATTCTTCAACCCGAAAAGGTCCTAAAGGTATATCGCCAATAAAAGTTGTTGGATGATCACGAGAAGGTTTCATTACCAGATAATACAATAAATTGAAACTAGGTTTTAAAGGCCATTTCGTAATTAATGTAACATCCTTATTATAAACTGATGTACGATAGCGACATTGACCACTGTGTTCATCAACTTCAAATAGTCCCAAAGGAGGTGGTAACTCAATAGAACGAACGAATTCGGTTCCTTCTGTGATTTCGTATGAAATGACATCGCCTTGTTTCATTGCTCGAGCAGTTGATTTAACCATGCTGCCATCGGGATAAGTAATGACGGCTTCCATGTCCATTGTAAATGCTTTAA